TTTTTTTTTTTTTTTTAATGTGTTTTTTTTTTTTTTTATTGGGGGAGGATGCTTGAGGCCAGGAGTTCTAGGCCAGTTTGGGCAACATAGTGAGACCTGGTCTCTACAAAAAATTTAAGAAGTGTGGTGGTGCATGCCTGTAGTCCCAGCTATTTGGGAGGTTGAGGCAGGAGGATCACTTGAGCCCAGGAGTTCAAGGTTGCAGAAAGGTATGATCACGCCACTGCACTCCAGCCTGGGCCTCAGAGTGAGACACTATCTCTTAAAAAATAAATAAAACAACAAAATAGACTAGAAAGTAGCAGAGCACATCACTCATGGTGACTACTGATTTAAGAAGCCTTAGTAGATAAGTGTACATATATGATTGTATAGTCCATGTTTATGGATGTGTATGTGTGTTTGTCCCTGAGCATATGTATCTGCGTGTGATTATCTCTGTCTACCTGTATATGTGTTAATGTCTGTATGTCTAGGTGTCTTCATATTTGTGTATGAATGTCTGCGAACATTTGTATGCATCTGGATGTCAGTTCTGTGCCTTTGTGTGTGTGTGCATCTCTGTGTATGAGCATATATCCAAATTAATATCTGTGTGTCTCTGTGAGTGAGTGTATATAAGGCAGGTCTGCAGTTTGTTTTATTTTAATTTTTTTTGAGATAGAGTCTCACTTTGTTGCCCTGGGTAGAGTGCCGTGGCATCACAGTTCACAGCAACCTCAAAATCTTGGGCTTACACGATTGTCTTGCCTCAGCCTCCCAAGTAGTTGGTACTAAAGGTGCCTGCAACAACGCCCAGCTGCCCAGTTACTTTTTTTTTGTCGTTGTTGTTCAGCTGGCCCAGGCCAGGTTTGAATCCACCAGCCTGGGTGTATGTGGCCAGTGCCCTACCCACTGAGCTACCGGCACTGCCCTATTTTATTTTAATTATGTATTTATTTATTTATTTGAGATGAGATGTAGCCCTGGGTGGAGTGCTGTGGTGTCACAGCTAACAGCAACCTCAAACTCTTTTTTTTTTTTTTTGAGACAGAGCCTCCAGCTGTCCCCCTGGGTAGTGTCGTGGCATTACAGCTCACAGCAACCTCCAACTCCTGGGCTCAAGCAAGTCTCCTGCCTCAGCCTCCCAAGTAGCTGGGACCACAGGCGCCCACCACAACGCCCACCTATTTTTTGGTTGCAGCCGTCATTGTTGTTTGGCGGGTCCAGGCTGGGGATTCGAACCCACCACCTTAGGTGTACGTAGCTGGCGCCTTAGCCGGTTGAGCTATAGGCACCGAGCCAACCTCAAACTCTTAAGCTTAAGAGATTCTCTTGCCTCAGCCTCCCAAGTAGCTGGGACTACAGGTGCCTGCCACATCACCCAGCTATTTAGTTGTTGTAGTTGCCACTGTTTGGCAGGCCCGGGCTGGATTTGAATCCACCAGCTCCAGTATATTTGGCTGGTGCCCTAGCCACTGAGCTACAGGTGCCGAGCCTGATTTTTTAATTTTTTAATTTTTTTTTTGAGACAGAGTCCCATTCTGTGCCATGGGTAGAGTGCCATTGTGTCATAGCTCACAGCATCCTCAAACTCCTGGGCTCAAACAATCCTCCTGCCTCAGCCTCCTGAGTAGCTGGTGTATAGGTACCTGTCACAATCCTGGACATTAGTTTTTCTATTTTTAGCAGAAACAGGGTTTCAATCTTGCTCAGGGTGGTCTGGAATGCCTGAGGTCAGGCAACCCACCCACCTTGACCTCCCAGAGTGCTAGGATTACAGGTGTGAGCCACCACACCTGACCAGGTCGGCAGTTTAGAGACCAACATTCTAGCCTGGGTTTTGCTACTTCCTTGCTGTGTGTCCTTGAGCAAATCACCTCATCTTTCTGGTCTTCAGGTTTCTCCACCCATAAAAGAGAAGAACAAAAGAGGATTTCACTAGAATGTTGTGTGCATGAAGATGGATGATTTACCTGGAAAGTTCTATGTAAACAGGAACTTGTGTAATTAATATTAATATCATAAATGGTCATAAAAGTTTATCCCCTACTTTCCCCATATATTTTTTTGTTAACTGATAACATTTTTGGTAACAAAAAAATTTCCTTTTATTTTAGTGCCTGGTAAGGTGTCTGAGAACACAGGAAATAATAATCATGAATTATGGAACAGTTCTAAGCCCTAGATGTTTACTAACTCAAAGCTCACAGCTCTCCACAGGGCAGCCCTGTTTCCTCTCCAGTACCAGAGTGGGGGTTGCATGGCCAGTAGACAAGTTCTTTTCTTCCTCCTGCCTCCCAGGGTTCCCAGATCAGGTGGAGCTAGCGCCCCTGCCCCTTTGGCAACCAGTGGGTGAGAATCTCATCCTGCGCTGCCAGGTGGCTGGCGGGGTGCCCCGGGACCACCTCTCTGTGGTGCTGCTACGCGGGGAGGAAGAGCTGAGCCGGCAGCTAGTAGTGGCAGAGCCTGCCCAGGTCACTGCCACGGTGCTGGTGGGCAGAGGTGATCATGGTGCCAATTTCTCATGCCGCACAGAACTGGATCTGCAGTCCCACGGGCTGGGACTGTTTAAGAACACCTCAGCTCCCCATCAGCTGCAAACCTTTGGTAAGAGAAGGGACTTCGGACAGTGGCTGGTGAGGATAGGGGTTGCCCTAGGTTTCCTGAGAATGGGGTGCCCTTGCCTTCATGGGCTCCTGGGAAGGCATGCCCTGGCTATTGGTCAGGTGGCCCCCAAAGGGAGGTTCCTGCTGTGGGATCTTTTGTAAATGCAGTGTTCATCACCCTGCGGGTATGTCCTGGGAAGAGGGTGACCCGGGCCTCAAGCTACCCTAGGAAGACGACCCTGGTTGGCAGAATAAAGGTGTGCCGAGGAACACAGCGTCTGAAGCTGTTGAAGCCTCCTTTTGCTCACGTGTATCCTTCTCTCCAGTGCTGCCCATGATTCCCCCTCGTCTCATAACCCCTCGAGTTTTGGAGGTGGGAATGTCGAGGCAAGTGTACTGCACCCTGGAAGGGCTGTTTCCATCCTCTGAGGCCCAGGTCCAACTGGCACTGGGGGACCAGATGCTGAATCCTGCAGTCACATGCCACGGTGACACACTCACAGCCAAAGCCACAGTCACAGCACAGGCAGATCAGGAAGGTGCCCAAGAGATTGTCTGCAACGTGACTTTGGGGGGCCAGACTGGCGAATCCAGGAAGAATCTGACAGTCTTTAGTAAGAGGGACCAGGGCAAAAGGGTGTGGTTTCAGCTGTCTGGGGCCTGTACAGAGGGGTGGTGATTAAGCAGCCAAAGAGGTGGGGTCTGGGTCCTGCAAATATAAGTTGCTATGTAGGCTGGGCCTGAGATCCCCAAATAGGACAAGTCTCACCAAAAGGGCAAGGCTCGAGAAGCCTAAACGCTTGGCCCAGATATTCCAAAAGCAAAGGAGTGGGTAGAGAAGGAGGTCTAAAGGTCTGGTTTGTATCCTGTGCAATGCCTCGCCTTTAGGCTTCCTAGGGCCCATTCTGAACCTGAGCGAGCCCAGCGCCCCCGAGGGGTCAACAGTAACGGTGATTTGCATGGCCGGGGCCCGAGTTCAAGTTGTACTGGACGGGGTTCCAGCTGCAGCCCCGGGGCAGCCCGCGCAGCTTCAACTAAATGCTACCGAGAGCGACGACCAGCGCAGCTTTTTCTGCAGTGCCACTCTCGAGGTCGACGGGGAGATTTTTAACAGGAACACGAGTGTTCAGCTGCGTGTCCTGTGTGAGTTGGTCACTTTCACTCTAACCTTTAATCCTTTTACTCCTACCCTGGAAAGATGAGATTTTCATTTGGACTATTCGGGTGTGTTGGTGTGTCTGATCACATGGTGGTTTCATAGATGGTCCCAAGATTGACCGAGCCAATTGTCCAGAGCGCTGGAAGTGGAAAGATAAAACTATGCAGATTCTGCAGTGCCAGGCCCGGGGCAACCCAGCCCCCCAGCTACACTGTTTGCAAGAAGGCTCCAGACGGGAAGTGCCCATTGGGATCCCATTCTTCGTCAATTTAAAATATAATGGCACTTATTACTGCCAAGCAGCCAGCTCACGGGGCACATACACCCTGATCGTGGTGATGGATGTTCAGAGTAAGCCTTGGCGGGGACAAGGGTTGGGATTGACAAGCCTAGGAGGGGCCGGGGCGCGCAAATTTACTCGGCGATTCTCTGCACAGATCGGAACTCCCCCTTCGTCAACATCTTCACCGGGGTGTTAGTGATCGTGGGCGTGGTGACCGTCGCAGTGGCTTCAAAGTACCTCTTCGGGAAGAAGAAGCGGAGCGGGTTCTACAAAGTGAAGCAGGAAAGCACCTCACTGCCCCTCACATCTATGCAGCTCAACCAGGCCGTAGGGGAAGAACCTTCCTGAGCTGCAAGACACTGTGATCTTGACCCATAGTCGGCGGAGGCTTGGCTGCGTCCCCGGATTCCTCAACCAATAAAGTCCTCCAACTCCGTAGTGTGTGGCTCGCTTCCAACTACTCGGTGGGGTTCTCCCACTGCGCTGCGCGTCCACTGAGTGGCACCGCAGCTACGTAAGGGGGCCGAGTCTGTGGCGTCCCAAACACAACTGGAACTCTTGAGAGGAGGGCTGAGCCTTAGCCAATGGGCTGAGGGGGTCGGGAGGGAGGTGGGGCTTCTTTCAGCCAATCGGAGGGCGCACCCTCGTTGCCGCTCTATGCCGCTCCGCCCTGGCTCGCTGGTCCCAGAAGGCGCCGGGTTTCCCAAGATGGCGGCCGACGTGTCCGTTACACACCGGGCCCCGCTGAGCCCGGAGTCTGGGGCCGAGGTTGAAGCTGGCGATGCCGCGGAGCGTCGGGCGCCAGAAGAAGAGCTGCTACCACTAGATTCAGAGGAGATCCGGAAGCGCCTAGAACACACCGAGCGCCAGTTCCGTAACCGCCGCAAGATACTGATCCGGGGCCTCCCGGGGGACGTGACCAACCAGGTATGGGGGGGTGGTGTGGGAGCGTGGCGGGAAATACCACCGTGCGCGTGCGCGGGGGAAACCGGGCCACACCAATGCTGACGGGTTCGAGGGGTCATTGGTGGGGATCCACGCGGTGTCGGGAGAGACCAAGAGCAGGATTGGGGGGGGCGTTGATGAAGGGATAAACAAATTTTGGACGAGGGGGGACGTTGCTAGGGGCGACCGCAGGTTTGGGCAAGACCAAGAGATAGAAGGAGGTGGAGAATGGGAGGGGGCGGGCAGCTTTGGCCCTGTTGATGGATTGTGAATGGGCCTCTAGATTAGGACACCGATTACCCCTTTCTCGGATCATGCTTTTCCCCAGTCTCCCTCTACCATGGGATGAGGGAACCTCATGTCCAGAAGTTTCGGAGCTGGCTGCAGGATGTCCCTCCATATCACGTGTTTATTCACTCCTCTTAGAGGTAGATCCGGAAGTTACAGGATCCCCAGAGGTCTCATCCCCCAAAACCCCACCAATAATTTAGAAAAATGGGGTCTTCTGCCACCAGTCCATAGACCTGTAGAAAGGGGGCGCTTAGATTCTGTGGAGCACTGCTCGGTTAATCTTTCTCTGGAAGGAGGCCCTACTCTTGGGGCCTACTTCCAGCAAGGCTTCCCAATGCTCTTTGGACTCAGGGAAGTGGCATCCGCCATGTGGTGGCGGAATGGGTTCTGTCTCTCTGCTCCTGAGAATCCCAGCTCTCCTGCCCATGAGCACACCTGCCACTTGGTCATTCCTGTCCCTGGATGGGCACATGCCTGTGGGTGGGGCCCCAGGATTGTTGGGAGGGGCTTGATTTGAGACAGACCAGGGCAGGCACCACTAAGCATGGTCTGGTTTATTTCTGGAGTGGATCTTCCTCTTAGTGCCCTCAGTCTCTCAGCTGGGAACACACTGTCTCTCTTGTAAAGTGCCAGTGTCTGGCACAAGCAGGCTGCAGCGCCGTGCTCTTAAAGCTGGCTTGCAAAAGGGCAGCCTGTCAGCAGGGGGGAGTTGGGACATATGTGAAACCACATGATGTGGGCTTATTAAGTACCTCAGTCAGGTATCCCTAGGTGGCATTCCCACTACCAACCTGACCAATTTCATGACCTTTAACAGGTCCCTTCACTCCTCTGAGTCTCCATTTCCTCATGGGAAATGCAAAATGTGTTTGTTACTACTTCATTTGTAGAGTTGTTGGAAACAGTCTTGCCAAAGGAGGTTCAGACAGGTTAGTGACTTCCTTAAGGGCATACTCTCTAAGAGTGTGTCTTATTGGTTAATAGCATGGGGCCTATGGGCAGACTCTGAATATTAACTCTGCTGGGTATGGCCTGAATGGCCTTGGGCAAATAACTGGCTTGAGTCTCAGTTTCCTCATTTATAAAAAGGGGATGGTATGTGACCTGTCTTCATAGCTGATACACTTGAAGGTGGTACCCTGCAGTCTCTGCTGACTCCCAGTCCTTTGGCTTCTGTCTCCACAGGAAGTACATGACCTGCTCAGTGACTATGAGCTCAAGTACTGTTTTGTGGACAAATACAAAGGAACAGGTTTGTGGGGTTGTGGGGAGGACCAGGGTAAGTGGTGAAAATCCTTGAAGATGAGGGCTCAGTATAGCTACCAGGCCAGCCCAGCAGGTTACCCCAATCTGTCTCTCATCCTGGATGCCCAGCTTAGGGCAGCCTTCATGATCTCCTGTGGGCTTTAGCTACCCTACTCATCCCATCCTGTGTGGTCTTCCCCTTGGTTAGTGCCACTTGGCCCAGGCCTGGCTCTGTCTAAACTGGTGCCTTCTCCTGGCCTCTAGGCCAACATGATTTCACTCCACTGTTGCCCCCCCAGGTAGCCAGCTCTAGCCTCACTGCCAGCCTGATCAGACCTGACCTCAACACTCATCATCCTTTCTCCCCAAAAATCTCCTGTGTTCCTCCTGGCATGTGATCCAGCCTCACTGTCTCCTCTGCCACTTATAAGATTCCAGGCTGTTGGCT